CTCATGCTGAATGGTCTCAAGTTAGAAGGTCGCTAGTTGACTCACTGGCATCTCTCGATGGCCACCAGCTTGAAAGAGGTGTCCGTAAAGGCCGAGTTGTCGAAAGTAGAACTTTAAGTCGGCAGAGTTATGGCCGCCACATATTGAGCGAACGTGACAAAAATGATTCTCATCTATTCGTCTGTAGGTAGTGTTTCGTTCATTGGCTACCGGCATTGAGCCGTTGGTTACTTGAACCCGCGGCCGAGATATCGAAGTCGGCTTTCTGCGAAAGCCACCCAACCGACCGCGTCAAGTGGCTTTGCCTGGAGGAAACACGAACAGCTCTAGATACAGGTACAGAGAATTGTTTTCTCCTTCCGCCATTGTGCTTCCAGTGTTCGTAGCATCGTAGCTGCGTGCCAAAAACATCTGACTGTAAAAATTCCATCCGTAATCCTAGGTTAAGCATTACGGTTCAGCATCGCGACAAATTTTCCGGAGTGCCACTTTTTGGCTTAGAACAGCGGCGTATCTTCAGGAGAGACCCAGACCCAAGTACGGGGATTAACAGGCGCAGTGCATAGTGATGTTTTGAACACCGTGCTAAAATTCCGACGACATAGAACCATGCCTGTTTTCTTTTCGCCAGTATATATGAGCCTGAAAAGTTTGCTGCCAGCAGCCGCTGTGTGGAAGAAATTCGTTGACTGGCCAAATTTCGCCAAGCGACAGAAATGTGACCGTGCAGAATGGGATGATGACGACGACAACAACAACGACGACCACGACGGCGAAAATGACGGATCAAATAAAGAACAAATTCGAATGAGTCGAATGGCCGTGTGGAATAGCAGCGGGCGAACGACATTAGGCGAGACCATCAGGTCGGTTCTACGAGTGAGAGACAGATGAAAAAGATTCGCCAGATCCACTGAATACGATAAGGTCAGACGACGAATGCGACCAAGAAGAGATCCGGTAAAAAGTAGAGAAAGCAGGCGAAATTAAGCTAGCGTTGGCAGGCAGTTGTTGGTAGCCGCAAATACCCGCTGCCTGAGTCAACCCAGAAGTACAACGGGAAACGTGACGAGGAAGAAAAAGATACTGGAGGCAGCCAAAGAAGCTGGAGGGAGAGGCTAAGGGGTGCAGAAAAACGACAAAAAGTGATCCCCTGCGGGGAAGCCGCCACTACGGCTGCTGATGCTCAGAAGGGATGAAAACAAGAAGAAACAGAAAACGAAGCTGAAGCCGAAGCCAGGAAAAGACAACGCCACCAGCAGCTAATGCAAGCAGAGAGCGTTACGAGCCCGTCGAGATGCGCGAGAAGAGCCTCCGTACGAAAACAACGATAGTCAGTTTTCATTCCGTTCCGTACGAGGGGCTGGCAACATTCTCTGGCTGCAGTCTACGTTCTCATACAGTCGCATGTACCTAGCTGCGGCGTCTTCAACTAAATTGTCGCTCTGAAACTATTCGTCGCCTCAGAACTCCGTTCCAAGCCGCCAGAAGAGGAAGGCCGCTTAAGGCTCATTGAATGCTGTATTAGTTCACTGTATAGAGTTGTTTTCGCTGCTGCAGTCGAACCACAGTAGCGGACTCAATCTCTTTTCTTGCATTCTATTGATTCGAGCCGTTCAAATCACCTATCGATTCGATGCTAAATCATGGTTGGCTTAAAAGTCAGTCGACTTGTGGTTGACCGGTAATGGCAGAAGCAGGCGCCGTGGTACTACACAAAAGGGGCGCGAGACGGTGACCGCAAGCCGAAATGTGTTAGAGTGAACAGCATTTCACCAGGCGAAATGAGAAGGTCCGCCAGAGCGGTCCTCTAATACAGGAATAGATGCAGGACTGAACCAAAATGAAAACGAACAGAACGACTCGAAATAGGACTCTTTTATGTTGCACTTCAGCGCGACAAAGCAGACTTTCGTCGTTTGTTGATTGCTTCGGGCGGCTGATTCGTGCCAAAGGGATTCGAATGGACGGGGGCAGGGGGGAAGGAATCCGACGGGGAATACACTAACGCGTGGACAAAGGTTTGAGCATGCGAGGCCGAACCGGGTTTTTCGTACCGAACAACTGTTCGAGGGTGGGGCCATCTTAGGTCCAGCCAAGAGTTAATGGCCTGCGATAGCCCAGTGGACAGTTGGGGTTCATCGCTACGATTTCGCTGGCGGGTGTGAAGCATCACAGCTGCGCGGGGTCGAAAAGGAAAACATGTAGATTTATAAGGTGACATGAGGCTTACGCAATTCTACGTCGGCCTGATTCGGCCTATGCTGGCTGGGTCTGGCGATGGTCTAACTTGAGTCCTTCAGATTTTCCTTGAAACGGTAGTTTACGAGATGCTAAACCTTGCAGTAGTATTGGGAAAAGTGGCTAATCAAGAAAACTACTTGAACAAAAGCACTGCCTACATCTGCCATATACAGCGACCGCCCGTACGCAATACTGATGCATGAGCATTGTGACACGCATTGAGACACGGTCTAGAGCGAAAAGGGGAAAACCAAATTATTACAAGAGACGTGACCGGAGCATCCATCGACTCGGTTGATATTGATCATCACGCCAGCGGCATACGTAATTTGTTACGACAACGTCACGTTCTCTTTTAGTGTTTTCAATTTTGTGGTAGAAGTTAGATGTGATGGTGGTGTTTGATTATTTGCTTCGACCATGAGCGTCACGCATACTTGTATTGGCACGTAATATTAACTAATAAGATGTTCGCTTCTACCGAAATATCAGCGCTACCTGAAAACTCCACGTTATGCTAAAGAGTTGGCTGATCAGCCACTGCTGTGCATGTATAGTACTCATCTTTCTAAGTATACGAGATTGCTTCTATGTAAGTGAGTTCTAAAGCCGGTAGCCAAAAGGGAACAAGCCAGTTGTTGAACACTAATGCCCAGACCAGTGTATATACAACCTTAGTCACAAGTATTAAGTAGGCAGAATAGGCTGACGCAGCTGTTATCGTCGACGAGGGCTTACACTAAGCTTGACCCAATATTCTTACTGGGTAGAATTGAGACGACGTCTACCAGTGCCATGCGGTGGCTTTGTGAGGTGTTGCCGGGATGGAAAATGGGTTGTTGTCTACAGCAATCTTCCAATAGACATTGCTATACCATCGTTTCAGCTACCTTTGTCGTTCCTTACTACTGCTCTCCGTATGTTGGCCGACAAAGCCAGGCTAAGCCAGGGCAGCTCCGCCGTCAGCTCCAACAAAAGATGACCAGGGCTGCAGCACTTCCTACCAAATTTAGGGTAGGCACATCTTGGTCTGGAGAATGGAAAACAGACCCGGGTTTAGGTGGGCCGGCAATAAGCAGGGCCACACGGTTATCAAAGTCAGTCTGACCCTGACAGTGGTCGTGCGCACTTTCGTCCGGGACCTCTGTTGGCAAAACTTGCCCTGTTGCCTGTTTTTTTTTTTTTATCTCGTCCCATATATCCCATTGTTATACCTGCCCTGTTGGCGTCAGCGCCATGAATAAAACGGGGTAAGCGAAAGCCGTAATGAATCACGCTGCCATGTTTATATACTATAGAGTGATCATAGTGTGTTACAGTGTTACGGTACTGACCAATTGTCTGGTTTTGGTATAAGATCAAATATGGAATTGCATTATATGATTACACCAGCTATGACACGTTACGTCTAGCGGCCTCGTAGTATAAGGAACGCTGATGGTTTCCGCCTCCCAGATTTCAGCAATAGAGAAAATAGTTTAAATCGCCTCTGATGCAAACACATATGCGGATAAGGTTCAGTAGGACAGACAGTTCTATAACTCAAACAGTAATTCAATCCCAATTAAAATCGTATAGGTTAAATTTATTTTCACTATAGCAAATTTGTTTTCTCCGATCTGTCTGCATACGTCGATGATTTCATCAGGTGATACGGAGTGACTGCGTTCCGAATCGGACGATATGCCACAGCCCATATCAAAGGGGCAGTCGAACGGTTTATGTTGCCAATTTTGATTCGAAATGACATTCAAGTGCTCATCAATAAGGACACAGCAACCGGGTTCAGTCATTTGTTCGAACGCGCGATCCATGGCGATCACAGCCAATAACATTAGCAGCATATGCGAACGGCCTATGCAGGTGCCACCTGGCTACTGCTTCCAGGCCTCTGCGCCATTGATGCCTTTGTCGTTGCTACTGCTGCACATCCGAGACAACAGCATTAATCAAGTAGCGTACCTTATGGTTTTATCTGCAGATATATAAAAAGCGAGTATATATATGTGTATCTGCAGATACACCGATCCTATGATAGCTTCCAGCAAAACAGGCTACCGTAAATCGAAAGCTTGTGTTCGGTATCGACGAGACTAGTTTTCGAATCCCATAGATCAGCGGCTGAAGCGCCTCCGCTCAAGAGGCCGCTGCGTGAGAGACACGATATAACTGGGATATTTTAAGCTTGTAGAATAGAACAGAGTTCGTAGAGAGTGAAGAGATACTAGCTGGTGATTTATGACCTTTCGTTGTTGTTGTGGAATCGTGTTCCCTATTGAGCGCGATGTATTTCTTGCTTATTGTTTGTCTTTGGTGGGAGGCAAGTGATTCGACAGGAATTTGATATTATCAATCTATGAGTACGCGCAGATATATAAGGTCCTACCGTAAAGCTGTAAGTGTTCGTTGCTAAATGTTCTTTGAAAAAAAAAGGAATAGAGCTTTTATTTCGGATGCCGCCGGAAAAATCAACATAGGGATCTAAAATGTTTCACAATTGTATCTTGAGGAAGCAAAACTGGTTTACCGAGTAGCCGCTTCGTAATAATTCCATCCGTATAGTTGTAATAACGACATCTTTATGAAGCTTTTAATTTTAAAAAATTGCTTTTGATACTAACAAAAACCACAACAACAATGGTGTCTTTATCAATCTCCAATGTCGCAGACGTGCGAGATGGTCACTCGGTTTAACCTGGATTAACAGGGATCTGGCGTTAGACTAAAAAAGTAAGAAAGCGAAATGTATTGCGTACCAGCATCGGAATTGTTGTCGGCCGAGTGTTGGCTTCCAGGCTGCGGGGGCATAATTGGTCCTGGGGTCCCTGCGGCCGACCCCGACGGAGAGCGTACGTCGTCACCCGTCGAACAATACGATCCAATCGACTGTGAGGGGGGACGCTAGAAAGACAAACAGAGACATAAATATTATCGCCAATGAGATATACTAAAGTCACTCAATGAAAATACAATTTTCGTCCAATGTCTTAGGGGGTCCTAGAGACGTATAGAACGTAATGGCAACTTTTTAAGGTATGCATATTCGCTGTCTACGTGCCCACTACTCGCGAATAGTTGTAAGCTTCTATTATTAATACCGTTACATTGACGAGCAGCTGCAAGATTCATGGAGGAAATGTTTCTCGTCAGGTTTAACTCAATGTTGCCTGTGACTCTTAACAGCGCACCATCCCACACCATCAGCCATTCAATTTGATCACCGCATTCTTGGCTTATAGCAAAGTGTTAACTCCTCGATCTTTTACCAGTTCTCCACTTTCCACGTTTCTTCTTTGGTAAAATCGATCGCGGGCAGTACAGTTGCAGTCCCCAATTTTATCGACGCTGAAAAACGCCGAAGTTCCTCATAGCCAGCTATCCAATTTACACAGGCAGCCCAATGCCCCCCCGAGTCCCTTCATCGCCTTCGACGTCGCATCATCTCGGCTAGTAGTTCCAGTTCTACCTTTTTATCGTTGGGGCCGTAGGCTTGATGGCAGTAACAACTTCACGGTCAATCAATTTCGCAGCGTCGTGCCGTGTCCTGCATTACTGCTGCTGTTCCTCTGCCGGTTGGTTAGATGCTCTATCGCGGTAGCTGTCGTCCAGCAACGCTTTCGCCTGTCGTCCGCTGCGGCTGCGATTGTGTTGGCCTTACCCAGCGCAACGAACGGCAGTTCAACTGGCTAGCCAACGATCAAATCATAAGCTAGCTATGATCGCTTGCCTGGTTCTGCTGTTGTCTTTTGGACAGCAGCTGCATAGACTGGGTCTGTTCATCCAGGCTATTTCACCGTGTAGCCGCGCCGATCTCCTAACGCGCGCGCGTTATGTTCTCATCTATTTCTGCCGGTCAAGACTCGTTTCTCCAGCAGCAGCCTTTTTAGAGGCCCCGCCGTTACGGCTGCTGTATCCGCTGCACATCGCCATTGCCGCTGCGGTGGTGGCGGCGGCGCTCACTACAATTTGAATGACTGACATAAACTATAATTTGAAGCGTCAGAGAGTGGCAGCACGTCAAAAAGGCTCGCTGCCTGGCTGGCGTCAGCAGTAGCCGGTGCTCAGCCACGATCGCATGGTCTTGTTGCCCCAGCTTGTTTCGATGCTGTTGCGTCTTGTTGGTAGAAAAACTGCTTGCTTTGATTGTACGGACGAGTCGAGCCTTCAGCGGCCGGCCGGCCGGCCGGCCGTCAGAACTAAATGCCAGGGCGCCTGTCTTGCGTTACCTGTCTCCGCTTGCCGACTGGAACAAACCGCGGAAACGCACGAGACCGAACTGCAGCATTTGCTATCACGTTTCTTGTTGTCGTCGTTGGCCTTCGCTCTTCGGACGCACGTCGCCTGGTTCGTTAATTTTGGTTGGCCTGCCACTCGGCGACGCTCAGCTGCCGACTCCTAGTCAACCGATCACTGACTGTTGACGACAGTGCCGGATCGCAGACCCGGCCGCTGTGAGTTACATTAGTAAGTGTTTGCGGAATGCTGGTAATAATGTCTCGTTTCGCTAGTTTGTACCGATGAGATGGCGCCCAAGCGTATGACAATGGGACGCCGCAAGCGTTTGCAACACGTCTGTACTATTTGCGTAGCTATGTAATTTGGTTTGGGCTTGAGCATTCTACAGCAACAGCAGTTAATAACCTGGTAATGAGAGTCATGCTTATCTTGTTGTTGACAACTTCTGCTGCAGCTGCAGCGTCCTCAATTCCCTTGGCTAGCAAACATTGGCGTTACAACTTCGTACATTTGAGCTCATGACGCGCGGCCATAGTTTATGAAAGCCCGTCCTTGCATGTTATTTTGTGACCTAGACCTATGCATCTATCTGTATGTGTAGCCCAGGGCACTATGTGCCTGCTTACTATGTGATAAGTATGATAAGTAAATGTATGCGCAGCTAGTTATGTCTATCTATCTCCCTGTCTGTCAGTCAGTCAGCTAGTCAGTATGTGGGACGTGTCCGTCATGGCCTCTTCTAACTTGATCTCGGCCGTAGCAGGGCCTTCTACAGCATGCTTACGTCCCCCTCGAGGTCTACTCTAGCCGTCCCCCTCCTTCCGCTTCTCCGTTCCCTTCTTGGCCACCGTCGCACGTCTCGTTTCCCTCTGCCGAGAACAAGAAAAAAGTAGATTTGTTTTTTCTCCTTTTCCTTCTCGACAACGGGACGCGAGAGAGTGACGGTGACGCTGCCGCTAATTTCACCAACTGCTCTACGCTATGATTTTCGGTGCAACGCGAATAGGTAAGGAATCTTAGATATTATAGAGAGAAAGACGGCAACAACAAAACTGTTCAGCAGTAGACGCGACCACCACTTTCATACTACAGAGCGATAGTCCACTGTAAATTGTGTGAGTTAGTTCGACTCGACTCGAATACGAAGACGCAGAAAAGGCCGCTTGAAGCATTTCCTCGGAAGGACAGACCGAACGTGATTGGCTCGCCGGTGGGTTTGCTGCCAGTCTGCCTGACAGTTGACAGCGCCCAGACAGAGGGCCACTTGGATGACGGCCTTACCATGGCTAAAACCTTAGACAGTTATTGCTTTTGTTGCGTTTTAAATGCTCAACGTGTACACCAGTGACCGTTGGTGAGTGTGTCTCACCGAGTTCTCCGTCAACGTAGTTCTGTTGAACTCTTACTGCCGACGCTGACGACTGTGCCGATGCCTCGATTCTGCCAGGAGTTAGAATGACGCATTAAAGCGCGGCGACGCAAGAAAGCTGCTCGACGCCATCGACTTCACGGTCACCAGCAGCAGCACCATACAGACTAGTGCTATTGCGCGACTCAGATGAGCTTTACATAGGCGAAGTCTGCGAATACTCAACGGTACCAATAACAACATAAAACCAAGACTAATAAAACGACTGCATAAGCGCCGTCGATGAATGAGTCTGGTCAATGAGAAAAAGTCCCCTAGCCCCTTTTGCATACACTGGGAAATAATGCCACAGAAAAGCCAGTCACTGGCAAGAGGTCAGTCATTGAGCGATGTCGGCAATTTTCTGCTATCTGATCTAATTGAGCTGGTGAGCCAAGCAGATATAAGCATTCGCAGACGGTAGCGACCAGCAACCGTCGCCATGTCGGTAACAGTTTGAAGCAAAATACTACTTCCTGCTTTATTCCTGCTGTTTGCAGATAGATAGTCGTTCAAGTTAGGACTACCTAACCGGCATGTGAGGTTCCAGTTCGTCGTAGCTGACATCAAGCAACAGACCGGTTTCAAGGCGTTGACCTGCCGGATCTAGCTAATACCTGCAACCGCAGTAAAATTGCTACATAACAATAACCACTTCGTTTTTCCTATCACTTCAGCTGCTGCGGTTGTCAACCGCCAACAACTGTCTGTCGCCCACCCGATGAGCGAATACAGAATACGCGCGATATCGCACCGCGACGTTTTGGCTCGCGCTGTATGACCAAACAAAGCCAATGATGTTGCATCAAATAAGGAGAGTCGTTAGAAAGAAAGATATATTGAGGGGGCGGCAAACAGCAGGCAGCCTCAACGGTGGTGGGAAGAAATACGCTATGTGGCACCATCCGTAAACCAATCCGACGTCGCCTGTTGATGTTACAGAATAAGCACAACTACATGTCAAGCGCATAGTGTCGCCAGTGGCGTCGGTAGCGAGAATCGTTGCTACATTTGGTGCTTGCCGACTGATTTAGCTAATTTCGAATTGAAAGCTAGAAAGGTCCGACGTTTTCCTACCCACCACTAAAACCCTGAAATAACGGAGGGGAGAACTAAAGGCCAAGTCACACTGAACTTCCCAGTCGTTTGAAGTGGCGACTTGGTACCGGGAACTGTAGCAGCAGCGGCAAAAAGCTATAGCAACATCATTGACGCACTCTCAGTTTACAATAGCAAATGACTCAACAATGGCTTAAATTAGATGGATTTCTTAAACTGTCTATGATGAGCACGACAAAAGCTAGTAGCATTAAGAAAAAAACTCAAATTAGAGTTTTTCCGATAGCAGTAATAATAGAAGATACTAAAAATGAATAAAGAGGATCAACTCCTGTGCGAATCTACCGGAAAAAAAGTGCTGAATGACAGATACAGGTCTCCATTTTGGCTTACCAACAAACTAATAAAATGGCTATGGCGCAATTTTGTTTTTTTTTTCTGTGCATTGTGTGCAAGCAATCTTTCGATAAAGCATCCTAGAAAATCCGACTTTTTAATTTTTGTTACCAAGTTTCTAGTTGTTCTGATGCCGGCGACAAAACAATGTACAGTGACGAGAGAACAAAGAAAAGAATAGTTCAGGTCTACTAGCTCACTATGCGAGTCGAACCTATACCTCTGGGTGTAAGGCGCCTTAATCCAGTACCATCTGTGTAGGACGAACTCAAACTATCGATTAGCAAAACACTACTGAAAAGAGCTAGCATCCATATTTCCAACGGCTTCTTTTTCAGCAGCAAAGCGGCTTGGGGAGCGCAATAGCAGCTGACAAACTTCAGTCTTCGTCAGCTAAATCACTTGAGGCATATCGGCATATGTTTTTCCCGTTGGAGCTTCTATATATTCGTATAGTTCCGTACATTGGCAGAAAGTTACAGGATTCACCATGTTCTGCCACGCCTGTGCAGACTTTAGGGTTCTGTTATCCAGCCGTCGCCTTTATCGTCATTGCTATCATCGTAACTGCCACTGCGGCTGCTGCTGCTGCTGCTGCTGCTGGTGTTACAGTTCTTCCCTTCGTCATCGAACAGTGGAAAGGAAATATAATTTGCGAGGAGCTGAGGGGAATCTGCCTACCAGGCTGCCTCATTGGTCCGTTGACTGCCTACCGGAGCAGCCATAGCAGAAACGAGAAAGTAGCGCAGACCCAACCCAGCCCAACACAGCTCTGCTGTGCCTAAAGCTAGCTGGGGTTAGCTGACCCGCCGGTCGCTTCTTCGCTCACTATTACACTGGCCGATTGCTGCCCGAGCCATCAGTCCTAGAACTGCCCGGCAACTCAACCTCAGGGCCTGCGCACCCCACTCTCCTCACTTTTTCTCTTTCTTCAGTTCTCTACGGCCCATAGTCTCTTTTCCTTGAGCCTGTCGTGTCCTCGGACAAGAAAGAGAGAGTGCTGCTGAGCAAAATGCGGAGAACAGAAACTGCGAGGAAAAAGGAGAAAAGAGGGCGCCACTATAAATTGCCTGTCACTTGCAGCCAGACTCCATCGTTGCTGAGGCTGCTGCTCTCCGCTCGGGGTTGGCTGACTAGCGCGCTCGCTAGTTTCCACTCTCCCCCCTCCCGCCGCCCCGGCGTCTTGCCGCTCCATCCCCGACTCCGCAGCCCTGCTTCGCTTAGAACCCCACGAAGCTTCATGGAAAGTTAGGGATTTAGGGGGCGTCTTCTAGTCGGGAGTTGAGTTAGTGGCAGCAATGGGGGGAACTGTCATGAGGGAACCTCTTTCTCACCAGCAGAGCTTCGACCACCCAACCAAGCTCTGGTCTCCCACATATACACCCAAGGAAAATCCCCTTCTGGGGTTCTATACTGCGAGCACTCCCGAAACCCACCCACATCCCCCCACTTCACAAAGATAGTCCTCCGTACTACATGTGAGCGGTCGGTGGCAGGCAAGGAGCAGCGACGCCGGGGCAAGATCTGCCTCTGCGTAGGCTTTGGTGAGTGGTGGGCGCTGCTGCCGCCCTGGCGACCACTCTTCATCCTCGTTCTACGTGGAAGGGATAGAGACAAGGGAAGCAATGCGCACCTTGTACAATGGAATAGTAGTAAATGGTACGGGGTGCTAATGGTAGCTAGGACGTACCGGCACGACACTGGCGCTCGTAGATCTATCCAGAACCTTCCCATTGAAGGGTGGTTGAACGCGTAAAGGAGCAAGCAGATCGACGACGCAAGTGTTCGGTTGCAAGTGGTAAACTCTATTGCAGATAACGCTGTGTCGATATGTCCATGGATTTTGCTAAACAATACATCGCGCCAAGCAGCAGTAAAATCAAAACCGCATTGGGTAAACAAAGAAAAGACAAATGGAATATTCTTGAAAATTTTGTGGAGACAGAAGGTCCCGAGGTTTTGGAAAATTTGTCATTGCTACGTAATTGAAGCCGCTGTTACTCGGTTAGGCGTTAGCCCGTCATAGGATGTCTTATGTAGAATAACTACATGCTCTGCATGTAGCATTTGCTCTGCGGAGAACCCCTCTATATCGAAAAGAGGTGGAGAGTAAAGATTGGATGAACGGAAAACAAGCCATCGCGCAATTGCTGATGTTGCCGAAAGTAACGCCATGCTCGGGTGCTACTGGACGATGGGTTACAGGGGCCAAGCGCAGAGATGGGGCACGCGACTTGCTCTCTACCCGGGTCGCAAACCGGAGCAAAACGAACGGGAAACAAATGGGCTGATGTGAACTAGCAATGGGAAAGCTTGGCTGACAAACGCTTGTGGCTGCTTAGGTATGAAGCAGAAACAGTAGACGCAGGAGACGGAGCAAGAGGACAGGAGGAAAATCCTTTCGCCCCCTCCGGCAGCGGCCATCGTCCATTGAGAAAAGGACGACGACGAACGAACAAGCACTTCGGCCCCACAGGCCAACCAACCGGCCGAGCAAATACGCAGGCAAAGCACGAGCGACGTACAGTTCACTAGGAGAAAACTGTGCCTAAGAGCCATCACAGTGTCAGTCGCTTCAACCAGCTAAAGCCAAGACGGGTAACGACCCATTGTGAGGCAGCGGTAAAAGCAGCAGCAGTCGCGACTTGACACTGCTGCTAGGTCAGGGCAGCGGTGTACTTGACATTCTATCCGACTGCCCAACGGGGAGGGTAATAGTGCCAGTGGCAATGGTGGTCACCCGTTCTTCACGTCGAGGCATACTAAGAAGGAACTCAAGAACAGACAGACACACCAGAAATAAACAGGATGAAAGGGATGTTGAGGAATTGAGACGTAAAGGTCGAGCCCGTCGTGTGTGCGGGGGAGGATCGCGGATACTGTGCACCAAACCAGATCGCATTGTGTCCAGCAATAAACCCACCTCCAAAAGAAATGACATGAGTGAAGGGGCGAGTGAACGAACGAGAACCGGCCATTAAACCAGGTTCGTTGACGGTACTGGCGACGGTGACATAGATCGACATTCAGAACCAAAGCCCTAAAGTTTTTGGCTAAGACCTGTATCTCCCTGTTGACCGGAGATTATATTGTGCGCTAACTGCTGAAAAAGGATGAAAATGAACTTGAGTGTAGAGTGTACTAACAGCGAAGTAGCAAGCCACGTATGCACTTGCATAGCAAACTCACCTGCTTATATGCAACGTACGCATTAAGTAGTACGACAGTACTACAGGGTATTAACGACGGCAGAACTATAAGGTATCCAATATTACTGCAGAGTAAGTAAGATACTTACAGAGTTGTTGTACTTCGGATACTGCCATGCGGAACCCACTGCCCGCCTATACGGGCTGTTGTCATCCTCGGCTCCCGGCTCGATGTCGTCCATTACGTAGCCCTATAATGAACGAAAAACGCCAAAAATATTAATTCATTAATACATTCTCCTATAGATTCCAATGCAAAGAGTTGCAAAAGTAAAGGCATATATATTTTATTTTATTGCGTTATATATTGCAAATACTCAAAACGGCTTAAAGCAAGCGACGTGCTCTAGTAGCTATTATCGTACGAAAACAGCTAAGCAAAGTTCCTTGATTTTGCGTTTAATTTTACTTAGCCCACTGAACTTCGTCTGTCTTCGCGCTAGTTATAGCCAGCCGAAGCACCTCCTGTATCCTATAGTGCACAGCATCCTTCAGGGTTTAGAAAAGAGAAAAACCCAGAGAATCAAGCACAGTGCAGGAGTCTCACAATTTTTACCGGGGGAACAACAACGAAGCTATCGCGTTGCGCTGCCGCCCAAAGCGCCTGGCTTGTTCGCTGTCTTGACTGCTTAGTGACTCCATAGCAAACGGCACCATCTGAACGGTCCGCGGACGAAGGAGACAGGCGCCTTGGGACTACAGTTGTTCCCCACATAAATTTTCCTCCCCACTATGCGAGTCAAGCGAGGATCTCTCACAAGCTAAGCACGGATCAGCTTGGTTCGACTATTGGTTCTCTTGGAGCAGGCAGGATCCCGAGCAAGCGACCGACTATTGCTCGCGCTAGCTGTGTTCTTCACCCCAGAGCCAGGCGGGCCGAATAAACAGGCAGACAGCCAGCCAGCCAGCCAGCCAAGTAGACTACAGTAGTATCATTGTGATACGAAGCAATATGGTACGTTCAACAGCGACCAAAACTTTGGAGAGGTTGGTCGGTCTAGGTGGACCGCTGGGTCTGGCGAGCAATATAACTGACGTTAAAAGATAACGTGCGTATAGAACTTATCATAGACAACTGTATTATTTATAAATGCGTTCAGACAATTCAGCGGCACTAAGTGTTGCATAATAGATAATAATAATGCAAAATATGGCAACTGAAAAAACATGTATTGTGTAATATATAAGAAAAAAAAATCAGTTACACTGTATCTAACCTTTATCTTTTATTATATTGGTAGCTAATAGCTTCATAATTAAAACAAACGGAGGAAGCTTTTACGCTGCTTGGACGCATTATGCATCGTTGCCTACTGAAGCCACCCACTCATTTTAAAAGGCTGTTTGTTCAAGTCATTTTAGCGTCACCTTATCTTTTATATAGTTAACCGTCTGCTTTTTATTCATTATCTGTGCGTTATCTGTTTCCGTCAGCCTGCTTTATTTCAGGAGCCATGCAGTTCTTTGAGTGCTTGCACCGCCGCCTGGTTTTTGGCCTATGCTTCCCCCAATTATTAGATCTCAGTGTATCCGTACTTATCGTTCAGAGACTTCGTCCTACTCCAAACCCCCCAGAACTACCCGGGCCGCCAGCCTAGCTCGTTTTAACGGCGATGATCTCGAAGCCAACCTCGTTTGTAGCATCTTTGCAGGCCCTTTCGTGTCTCGTGAAACGTTGTCTACGGGTACCAGTCTATGACAGAAACGGTAGTCCAGCAGCAGTAACCAGCAGGACCCGTTATCTCGTTGCCACTTAGAGGCCTCTTCAAGCTCGTCTCTGCTTGATTAGCTTCATGGCCTTCATTCCCGCCTGCCTTCAACTGACGCTGCCGCGTGATAGCTTAATAGATATGGCGACCGACTGCAAACACAAGATGAAGCGACAGACATCACCGAAACTGGTCCTGAAGGAGTATGGTGTGAGCCTAAGGACCTCTTTGAACTGATTCGGCTTATTATTAAAAAAAAAATGGAAATAACTGGTCAACTTTGACCTACTATTCTTACGATGTTTCCGAGCAGCATATATACAGAAGACGTTCATAAACTTACGCGGCTATGTCGCCGTAAGAATGATGCAGTATTTCTAAGAAATCCGATCTACAGCTGACTTGGGTATTCAGGGTGCAGGAGAAACCTTGCAAACCCAAATCCAAGAGCGTTTGGCACTGAAAAACGTGAAGCATTTAGCAGTTCCGAATTTCTATAGATTTTCATTTTTGCCAATGTATTTTGTGTAGATAAGCGGTTGTTGTTGTACTAGTCCAAAAGTAACTCATAAGACGAAGCCATCTTCAACTTTTCCCTTTTTATAATTTAAAATTTCCTTTATGAGGACGCAGTCGTGACCTATTTGCCTACTTAGGTTATCGACGCCTGATAGTTTAGGTTCAACATTAATAAGGCACTGTTATCAATGTTTTACTATAGCTGCGCGTTGCGACTGGGGTATTAGGAGGACACCGTACCTCTGAAAGCGTCCCATACAAGAAAGTGAAGCTCAAGGAGTGATGGTGGCTTAATCCTAGTTGTATTGGCTGGGGATAGCAAATCCCTACATGCGATAGACACAATAACACCAAGCGATGCCCTATCTGAATGCACTACAAGGATATGTTTTCTAAGGGATAAATACGATAGAAAAGCAGCTGGAGATCAGCTGGAGAACTGATCGAAGTTGCTTGTAGGCTAGACGTTGGATAAACGCTTATGGCCGGTGCAGACGTTTGCCGATGTACTTTGATAATTGTCCTTGCAAATGCTTCATGGGCTGAAACCGATCGGCTAATGAGATTGACGTCAGTAACACAAAATAATATTCCAGGCTGAAACTCTAACCGTCTAACAACTATTGCTACTAAGTCTTCAATGCGTCATACAATATACCTTTGTACGAATGATTCTCCATAACATCATGCCTCAAGTACAGCCATGAAAACCATTACCAAGACGTGGGATTAGGGAAGTTACGTCATACGGTTACATGAAATTAAATAGGTTCATATCACTTGACAGATTGCATATAACACAGTGTTACCACACGTCTTTGCTTTCTCACACGATGTGTTTCACCGTATTTGATGATTGCACACAAAAATATTCGAGCAACGTGACAGTGATTGATGGAAATTTAACGGGCAATTAACGTTTTAATATCAACGACGACGACCATGAGCTCAATATGAACATCCAAACTCCATGGCTTATAGGGCAAAGTCGCTTACATTACCAGGAGATTGGTAGATCGAAGTAACGGCGGCGGGCGGCGGGCGGCTCACCGGCCGTAGCGTCGTTGCTTTCGAGCACTAGGGGCTTTTGCGGTGACGACATTGTGGAAAAGAGGACTACAACAGATAGAGGATCTATAGGTCAAGCTACCCTGTTGTAGAGATGAACGACAAAACGAAGCGAACGGTATAAGACGGACGGCTTTCACCTGTGTGCGACGAGTTTTCGTCTTGGAGTTTGAGGACAAGCAAGCTGGTGACGACCATTGCAATTGCGATGGTAATTCTGCTGCTGCTAACGGCAGTGCTGCAATGATGATGGTACCGTTACGATGGCCAGGGCTTTCTCAAGAAACCGGATAGACGCCGGTACAGTGAAGAGTTTGGACAAAATGAAAATCCAATCTCGCCTGTCGAGACCCATGACATTTTCCTATCGGTTAGACGCAGCAGAAGAAGGTGGGAGAACTTGAGTAGCGGAATAACGAATAGTGCGGTATACGGCTTAGTCCTGGATAGGACAGGAGGGCAGCAAACAGCCGGGACTGGAGTAACTGGGGTCCTCCAATGGAGATCTACCTAGCTGGGGCCTGTCTAAAGGGGGAGTGCATTGTTCAAAAATTCAGGAGGATGTGCTTCTTCGCTGCCGCTTACAGGTCGAGGACATACTAAGACAGCAATCCCAGTAAAGTAACTCCAGCTCTGGATAGGATAGAAGCTGCCGGAAACATGTAAGCAATGGCGGAGAATAGGATTGACGACCGAAACGGGACCGAGAAAAATAAGGAGGCGCCAGCGGTCGCCAGCCACTTTTTCCGAATAGTTCCGCTAGGTTAGCAGCATCGGCAACAGCAGCTCACTCTGTTCGTTGGTATAATTAGATTGAACCTTCTAAGCTTCATCGACGGTTCGGCAGTTTGTTGGGAAAGGTGTCTGCTCAGGAGGTCTCAGGAGACAGATGGAGATAGAATAGCGGGAACAGCGCCAGAGAAGGAGATAAAAGGAGCGCGAGAGCTACCCCGGCAGGAAAAGTTGATCCTCAACTGTAGAGCAAACAAGAACGCAGCCAAGGTAGCAGGGCCTTCTACGGGCAGATAGACAGGCAGCTCGCCAATCGTTTTTACCTAGCTTATCCTTTTTGTTGAGAGAGGAAAGTATCCTTAGAACTCCTATCCGACTGTGGGTAGAGAGAGTGAAGCAAAAGTGCGCAACCCAATGCCGAATCAAAGCCAAGTGGAGCGGCGGGAGGCAAGGAGGCACCAACGTGCCTGCAGAAGTTATGCACACACGAACTACGACCACCACTGTCAATATAGTCACCATTGATGTCTCACTGGGTCCATACCATCGACGGATAAACATAGAGGTAGACAGCTCGACACATAAACGCTGACTGCTCTTATAGTACAGGCGATGTGGCAGGACGAGAAGCGAGGTGAATCCACCCGTCGCGGCTGAGCAAACTTCGCCGTGCTTTCACTGACTTTCTTCTCTAGCGGACTGCCACTAGCTGCAAGACGTGCTTGGTATAAGATAGAAGAAATCTACTATACGAATCAGGCTGACTTCACTAATACATTATCTATTCAACCAGCCATCCCAAGTGCTCGTTCCAATCGGCGCTACTTGACATCGATTCAGTAGTGGTTAAGACTAACGTCGGAGGGCAATTAATCAGATCCGAGTGACAGTGCTTCGTTTCGGTCGCTAAACGAATCCGTTAGACGCACCGCGTTTATAGATTAAGACTGCTGCGAGGTGCAAAGATTTGATATTTAGAATTTTTTCATACAGTCTTCAACGTTCTGATGCGTGAACAAGCCTTCGAAATCACTTTGTTAGTACAGCATAAAGGCCTTCGATTAAACACACGTGAGGCTTCATGTGCGAATTTGATTGAGCATCTCATCGTATATTCCTTTTTCAGATAACTAACTAATCTAACGACACTGCATGCAGTTACG